GACCAGGAGACACAATTCAGTCCCTAGCATTACCATATCACATAAATTAGTTTTATGGACCTGAGTACTAGACTGAACATATATTTCAATTAATTTAAATTTCATAATTTCACTCCCTTCTGTCTTGAGTGGGTGAAATCACCTGAGCCTGGAGATTTAAACTTAGTTACAGTAAACTTTGTGCCCTCTTATGTTAAACTCCCTGATCATTGGCTTTTAATTTCCTCTGCCCAATTTTTGTTCTGACTTCCCCAGTTGGAAAAATGGCTCTACTCAATACAAAGTTTTTTTATTTTTATTGAACTATAATTGACATACAATATCCCATTAGTTGCAGGTGTACATTATAGTGATTCAATATTTTTATGCATCATGAAATGATCCCCATGATAAATCTAGTTACCATATGTCACCATACAGTGTTATTACAGTATTATTGACTATATTCCCTATGCTGTACATTACATCCCTGTGGCTTGCTTATTTCATAACTGAAGTTTGTAACCCTTAATCCCCTTCACCTATTTCACCTGCCTACCAGTCTCTCCCTGATCTAGTACCCAACAGTTTGTTTCCTGTATCAGTCAGTCTGTTTCTGTTTGTTCATTTGTTTGTCTTTTTAGATTTCACGTATAATAGAAATCATACAGTGTTTGTTTTTCTCTGTCTGACTTATTTCACTTAGCATAATGCCCTCCAGTTCCATCCATGTTATTCTTTAGTCCATTTGGCTGAATCTAAATTATCTAGAAATGCAATTATACTCAATTATTTCTGCTAAATAAATTCTCCTTAACCAGAACATAAGCTATGTAGTACTGTTAACAGTGTCAAAGAATGGTAAGACATATTGTTACACAGAATACGACTGAACATTTCTTTTTAACCATTGAAGATCAAGTGAGATCTGCAACTTTTATGCTATTGAATGTCCCAGTGCAAAAGTGGAGCTGTTGACATGCAACAGAACCACAAACAGCCATACAGGTGTTAAGGCACACATCTTGTTTCTGTAAATTGTTCTAGCAGTTTCCTCAGGCTGCTAGAATAGGTGAAATGGTATTGATAATGTATAAGCCTCCTTGTTTTCTAGCCTGGTTAAAAAGATTGTTTTACTTTAAAATACTTGTGTCAATTATCAGTACTTTTATGCGGTATGGTTTTCAGTGCAGAATATTTTTCAAAATGTAAACAATCACGCATCCATACACTTATGCACATGTGTGGACATGTGCATGCACACGTTACAATTAAATCTTTTTTCACTTTCAAGTAGCTATTTCCTATTGTAGACCAAAGCTGGCTCCAAGCTAAGTTTTGAGGGCTATCTTTGGCTCCCTTCTCCCTCCTATTTACATAAATCTCCCTCCTTTCTTTTACTTGTCTAGTCATCTGTGTCCTCATATTACCAAGAGACTCTCACAGGGAATTTCAGTATAAATCTACTTTTTCTGCACAGTAAAAACTTTCTTTCCTCTCCTTCATCAAATGTAACTGTTGCCCTCCTTTCATGCTCTTCTCAAGTTTTTCATTGCCACTGCTAGATAAGCTGTGCAGGTGTTTTAGTAACTGACAGTGGTTTTATTCTTTGTAAGCAATATACTTTTACTTAAATTGGGACTTCCTTAAGACACTACCCTAACATAAAAGAATAGCTTTGATGGTGGGAAGGTCAGGCACTGTAGTGAAGATGGAAGACAACTCTTTGGTGCCTAAGTGTTATTCACTAACTGAAGTCTTTCTCCAGATCAAGTATGCTCACCTTTGCTGCAGTGAAAAAAAAAAAGCTCAATTGTAATTTAAGAAAGTTGGAAGGTTGTTAGGTTAGTATTATTGATAAGAGAGGATGATAGCACACTTATAGAAGGAAAATGATCTTAAATGTAAGTTTCACAGGCACATAACCCTCTCAGCCCTTAGTGATCTGGCTGGTTCTAAAAGACTTCTGAAACAGAAGCTGGGATCAGGAAAATAACACTTTTTAGATTCTCTGACTGGTATGACTGTCTCTGTAATTGTAGTCCTAGAAGAAACTGTGACTGTTGGCTTAGACTTTTTTCCCCAAGAAAGCTGGAAAGATGTGGTAGCATCTCAGGAAATAGAAAGGAGAATATTAGGATGTAATCACTGGCTATTGATGAATTGCAGATAAGAAACTCTCATGCCCTGCACTAAGATTTTACCTCTAGATTTAAAAGCTGAAATATAAAGCTAAAAGTAAGTTAAACTGACCAAGGAAAATATTTAATGGCTAATTAAAATAAATGCCAATGAACTTTACTTGTACTTGGTGTTTTCACCATTATAATAATAGGAAGTAGCAGTGATAGAAGAAAAATTCAAGCCATATGTTACTTCTTTGGTTGTCTAAAAATTATGTTATGTCTATGAAAACCTGATTCTTAAGTAGGAGTTTAGTTGTCAATAGATTCATGGAAATTAATGCTTGAACAGATGTGTGTATAAAATGAAAATTAGCCACAATCTGCTGCTTTTTCCTTCTTAAGGAAATGTATAGAGGCCTCTCTTCTTAAGGAAATGTATAGAGGCCAAATTAGGGGTGGTAAAATAAAAGTGTTCCCTTGCATTACAGTAGGTATAGTACTTAATGAATGTTTATAAAAGTAAAAATAGAAGAATGGATGGAATGAAGGCAGGCAGGAACACAGTACACTCTAAATGAGAACTTAAATATTTGAGCTTTTTTCTCCCTTCATTGCTCATTTTGACAACATGGGAAATAAGAGAATCTCAGTGATTTCTGAACAAGATGCTTATGCTCTTTTAGCCTGATGAAATAGAAATCCTTTTGCCAAGCTTACTTATTTTCCAAATTTTATAAAACTTTGTTACTCTTATTCTCATCTTTTGGGATTTACTATACCAATTTAGACCATTTGATCCATCAACTCTTTTAATATCCTTGCTCAGAGGAGGTCCATTTTATGCCTCTCCAGTAAAGAGCACAGACCCAACACAGTTGTAACAAAGTTCATGCTTAAAAAATTGGAATAACTGAGCAGTTAACCAAATACAGCATGTTTATCTATAAGACGGAGAAATTCCTTTTTGACCTTAAAACTCATTAACAAATGTCTTAAGACTTTGTGGAGTTATGAAAAAAGATGACATAATTTTGCCCTCGAGGAGAAATCCCTTCAGGTAGACTTTGGCCAACTAATAAAATCTCTGGGATATGATGCTAACAATAGAATTTGTATTCCTACATGAAAGGCAAGTGAAGCAATCAGAAATGACTTCTTAGAGAAGAATTGGGGCTGGGTCTTGTGAAGGTGGGAAGGAACATAAATTAATGCAGAAAAAAAGTATTCCACATGAAAGAAATAGCCAGAAAAAGACACATATCTGAAGGTTAAGGGAGATGAAATGTGCATATATCATTTTACTGAGAATGGTTTGACAGGATATGAAGGAGGAAGGTTTTTGGGGCTTCCTAAGAACCTTAAATAATAAGGTTCAAATGTATAAGGGTGAAGGACAGATTAGGGATTCTGAATTCAAAGCCACAAAGTATTCCTGCATATAATAATGCAAGCATAAATCATTCCAGTATAAAATAATACTGGATTATACAAAATACCTTGAGGTATACTTATTGAAACTTTAAGAGCCATTTTCAAATTTCTTAAATATATAGAGCAGATAAAATCATTTTTTTTAAGGATAAAGTCTGTAGTTTATATTGATTTTGAAATGCAACAAAAAGTTTCCGATCACTCATCTACCTGAAAAAGAAACTGTAGTTACTTGAGTTAGTAGACACTTTTTTTTGGTTTGTAAAATTGTAATGAGCAGTGTTCATTAAAAAGAATTCAAGATAAAATAAGCAATTAAAATGCCCATTTCTTTAGTTCCTCTGGATACTGTTTAATTATCCAATCTATTAAGATTCTAGAAAGAGAAGGATTAAACCAGGTTTTACAGTTCCAAAGATACCCAATTTCCTTTTATTGCCAAAAATTAAAATTGTCAGATATGAGATGATTATGACACAACCATATCAAACCTAAAAATCTAATTTTTTTTTTACTTTGAGAAATCAAAAATACCAAATAAATTCTAAGTGCTCTATGTTAACTGAAGTGTATATGTAAAGTAAAATACAATTAAGCTTTAAAACGTGGAATATACATTTTTGTGTAAGCATTATGTTCTTGGGAATGTAATCTACAGAATATCTTTTTTACTAAATCTTCAAAACCTTGATACCTGCACATGAAAAATCATAAAAAATATCTAAGTACAACTGTACAAAGAAACTGACACCAATATGCATACCTCCATAGAGAAGTGAATGCTTCAACAGTTAGGTATTTTGGTAAAAGTTTTGAAAGTATGCATATATTCAAAGTAATTAGGCTTTTAAATAGTGGAGTCTTAGACTATCAGATATTTATTACTTTTTTTCTCAAAAAAAACATGTTAATATAATACAAAATGAAAATCAAGGGTATATGGCATATCATTCTTTTTAAAAGGTGGTTTCTTGGTTTCTTTTTTTCCCTCGATAGGACACACTAGTTTATTTAAGCCATAATCTCTTGACATTTAAACTTTTAAGTTCACTCTGTAAAGTATACTCAGATTCCCTGCTGAAGTGCAATGACTATGCTGAAAAACTTAGAAACAGTATGAGTCAGTTTCACACAATTACTAATCTCCTAAGAATGTACAACGTTATCAGTTAGGAAACAATTGTGCGAAGTCTTTTTTTTCTTCCTTTTAAACTTGGTGTAGGTGGAATAGCAAGTTTCTGATCTAAAACAAGTAATGCATTGCTTCTATAAAGGTGACAACATGTAAGGCAGTTCAAAGAAATGCTGACTAACCAAACAAAACGCAATTATTGGATTATCTTGCTATTCGTATCAGCTTAACTTGTTATAACGCATAGCTCGTAAATCTGTACAGCACTCCATTTTACACAGAGTAACCCCACTCTTGATTAATCTGTTCTAAAGTGCCAGTATTATTTACACTTTTTTTTTTAGCCAAAAGTCTGGCCAGTTGTGGCATCAGGTGAAGATGTCATCCCAGCTCTATTATCATTTACATTCACCAAGGGAAATTCTGGAAATTCAGCACTTGTCCCTGGTCCCCGAAGGTTCACCTGTCCATTGGCAGTGCTAAACTGAGTAGCTATTCCAGCTCTGGATCCATGATAAGGAGCACGGAAAGGCTGTTCAAAAGAGCTCATTTGGTAAGCTTGATGGACCGGCTGAGCCTCAGCTTTCTTCTGAGAAGTCACTTGATCCAAAAAGTCCTGTGTCGACGTGGCAGAAGCATGGTTTGTCTCATCACCTGAAAAGGGAAATGAGTGCTGTGAATCACCAACTATTAGTCCAAAGTGGAACTTATCTGGAGTTGTTCTTAGTGGAGAATTCATTCCTGATCGAAAGCTATTGATGGGCATGGCTGCATAGACTTGCTTGTCTATGGAAGAGAATACTGGTGGATTTGGAAGCGTCTGGTTATCAGTCACAGAGTTAAGACTCGGGCTATTCAAATAGGCATCATTTTGGCTAGTTCTGTCCAAAGCCTGCTGCAGGAACTTTTAGTACTCCTGCAGCATGTTGGCTTTATCTGATGAGGATGCTTGGGGGCTTGGCCCAACACTCTCCGCTGGGGTGACCTCAGGTACTTCCGAGGAATTTATGGATATGCTAGAAGTCACCTCAGTGTCGGCAACACTGAATATCTCATGCTGTCCATTAGCTTTATGGGAATAATGATCCAACAGAGTCTGCAGGACCTCATCTGCAATCACATTTTTGTCATGATTACTCTTAATCTCCACATTCAGTGCCTGTGAATCCAATATGGATGCTGTGGTACTTTCATCAATGACACTTGCCACAGCTGCTTATGTTACAGAAGGCTGAGAAGCTATGGTGCCCACATTTAGGGCATACTCCCTACTGTTGTTACTTGCTGCTTGAAGATACTGCTTCTTCTTCAAAAATTGCATGGCATCATCATAATTAGTACTGCTATGCACAGGTTTACTGGGCCCCTCTTGCAAATTATCAACCTGATCAATGTCAGCATTGCCTTCTGAGTCCAGTAAAGCTTGTTTATCCACAAGTTCAAAAGCATATTTTGAAACTTTGCTCTCTTCATATGTAGATAAAGGCGAAATTGTTTGACTTTGCTCCAGTGGCCCTTTCAGACTTCTCTTACTATTTATTTTTTTGAGAACCAACTTAGGTGGATGTATTTTTCCTGATGCATCTTCCAAATGTGAGTCCCCAACCAAAGAATGTGGCATTTCAACAGTGTATTCTGCTACCATATACTCATCTTTTACTTTAGTACTTGAAGAATAAAGTGGCAAGTAATCATTTTTATCTTTCTTCAGGTCAGATTTGTCTAAAGCACTCTCTTTGTCCACCCCATATGATTTTTTCTCTGTTTTCTGCCTCTTCTTTTTTGGCAGTGAGTTATCTTTTGGTGACGTAGAAAAGCCAGAATCTTCTTCAGATGTCAGAAGGCCACCTTTGATGGCATGTCTGTTTAGTTTTTTGTCATGATTTTCATGGCACATATGTTTATGTTTCAATACATGGTCTGTTCTGGAAAAATACTGTTGAATTCAGAGTTCAGTAGTGAGTTTTTTGTTTTAGTTTCTGTAAACAGTATTCACACTGGTAAGGTTTTTCTCTGCTATGAGTTCTCTTATACCTTTCCATATGATATTTTTGTATGAATCTCATACCACATTCATCACAGCGAAATGGTTTTTCACCAGTATGAATCTTCTCATGTCTCTGCAGCAGGTACTTCTGTATGAAACGCATGTCACATTGACTACATTGAAATGGTTTTTCACCTGTATGAATGAAGACATGTCTCTGTAAGTGATAGTTCGTTCTAAAGGCAGCATTGCAGTGCTCACAAACATGAGATTTAGGGTTTTTCAAACCAAGTGATCCATCCTCATTTATTGTAAGGATCCTGTTCCTTTCTTCAGCATCTGATAAGGTGTTCAAACATAAGGTAGGCTTTTCTTTTTCTTCATACAAAAAGGCAGAAAGAGTTACTTTAACACATGCTTTTGCAGGAGAACATTGTTTCCATTTCTTCTTTTTCTGTAAGTCTACTGGCTCTCTGATTTGTTTTTTGTCTCTCATCAGTTGCTCAGATACATCAGGAAAGGTAATTTCCTGCTTTACATTTATAGGGACATTCACTGCATATTGCAGTCCTTGAGGAAGTCTTTCATGTGTTTCCATCTGTTCTTCATCATTTTTCACTGTCTCTTCATGGACCATGAGTTCATCATGTGATATCATATCCTGTTGTCTCATTTCACTTTCTTATAACACTTCATCTGCAGCAAGGATCTCCTGATGAGGCATACTCCGATCTTGAAGTACCGACTCCTGCAGTTCCCCAGACACGGCAGACTGGCCAGACACTCCATCCATTACAACCACTGCCCTGGAAGACTACATTTCATCTATGCTGCCACATTTAAGAAATAATCCTTCCAGTTTGTCATCAGTGTTCATGCTTAAGTATAACTGCCTGAGACTAAAGTAAAAATGAAGACTTCAAGGAAGGCAATGCTGTACAGTCAAAAAAGAAATCATGGTTGAGTTTCTAGCTTTCACAGGCTTCGGATACCCTCAAACCACCTTAATCACATATGCTATCCAATTCCTCTATAAAATATGTCAGGCAAATGCCCATCTCGCCAGATCACTTGGCAGAATTTCCAAGGTGTTAATTCCTCTATCCTGCCACAAAGTCTCGGTCTCAGGAACCTAATTCATTTAGCATCATCTACCAATTTCATTTCTCCTTCCAAGTCTCTATTCCTTCTCTCTCCTCTCCCACAACTCTGGACCAAGAATGGGGAGAAGAAAAGAACCTACCAAGCTGGGAACTAAGGCCTGCAGGCGGGCACCAAGGCGTACAATCACTGACTGCGGGCAGCAGCAGCTCCAACCTTTCTAGGGCCCTGGAGAGGAGGGGAAGGGGCAGGGTGGAGAACTTTTGCTGTGGCAGCTTGGGCAACAGCTCCCACCCCTGCCCAGATAAAATCATTTTTATCACTACAGCTGGACAATACATAAATTCTAGAAATGAATGTGAAATGGTGAGATAATCTATCCCCCCCAAATGAAACCCAACCAGCCTAATTCAGTGCAGGTCACAATACTTGACTGGACCCACTTGCAAGGCCAGCTTTGTCCTCCCACGTCTGTATTCATCTGCCAGCTCTTTCCTTTCAGAGTGATTTTTTTTTTTGTAACAATCTTGTTTAGAGGTTAGAGACTATTTTTTTATCTAAGGTAAAGTGAATGTTGTGTTTGTTATTACCCTTCTTGGTCAGAGCAATTACTAGGTTTAGTGATACAAAGGAAGAGAGAGAGAGACCTTTAATCTTGAGTAGACACTTTAAAAAAATATAGTTGAACAGAGGCTATTTGGAAAATACAAAGCACTTGTGTACTATACTATACATCAGTAGACTAGAATATTCACTGATCTTCTCTTTTGACAGGAGGCCACTCTGAAAGTACAGGCAAGATATATTAGAATCTAGGGGAGATTCGGAGGTAGAAGAGAAAAAAGAAATGAAGGAGACTAATTGCAGAGATACTTTACTACTCAAAGTTTTAAATTAAGCCTCATGTGAAAGAATCAGGCAGCTGTTACCCTAGTGCCACAGCTGCCACCCTCTCCAGGGAGGGGTTTTAGTGCAGTTTTCTTTACAATATTAAAGTAGAAAAATTGAGTGGAGTTGGAGGGGTAGGGTGCGCATAGGGCTTTTTCTCCTACCAGCATAGTTCACAAACCAAAAAATTTGAGGGCTGCTTTTGTAGATACAGTTCCCAGATATGAATTCTACTTTTCTATTTTCATCCACGTTTTTAGCATTGTGTAAATTTGTCCAAAAAGTAGTTCTTGCCAGTTCTTTTCTTAAAAGCCAACTTATTGAGGTATATTATATGAGACATAAAATTCATCCTTTTAAGTGTACAATGTAATGAATTTTAGCATATTTACAGTGTTGTGCATTCATCACCAAAGTCTAATTTTAGAAGATTTCCATCATCCCAAAATGAAAGTTTGTGCCCATTTATAATCACTCCCCATTTCCTTGCCAATTCTTATTATGCCCTGATCAGAAACTGGGCTTATGTATGAGGCACACAAGCCAGAGGTAAGCCAGGCTTTACTTACTAGTTATTGTAAAGCAGTTCTCCAAGGCTCTTTCATGAGATACTATAAGGCATGGGCTCCATGGACAGTATTTATACACCTGAATACAGGGAAGAAGATGGAGCTGTGGACAAGAGGGAAGGATGAATTGGGGAGATTGCACCATTGCAAGTGAATCAGCAAACCATACTGTTTTCCTTTTCTTTTCAGTTATTATGTGCGCCTCATAATTCAGATTATTTCACATGAGTTTTACCACAGTGTAGTGTGGAAAAGATGAAGATAACTTATGTATTTACTACTACAGTTCAGGATGAACTGAAGACAGAACTAGATGTTAGTCTCCTGACACATAAAGACATTTTTTAAGGTTCTGGGATTAATGACAATCCATAGAAGAACACTCATAAAGTCTCCCTTTCTACCCTGTATCCAATCCACTGACCCAGTCAAGATATCTCTTCTTTGGGTCTGATTTTCCTAAGAGAATGTTTGCCGTGCTGAAATATTTTCTTTTTGATAGCATCTGTAGAGTATCAATGAGCTTCTTTTGGCATGGGTATCAGGAAACCATGGTGCCTATCCAAAAATTGGTCTTTGAGATGGATATATATACTGACCTTCAGTTAGGCTCTGGGTTAAGACAACATGAGAAAATCAATAGCTTATTTTTTCTCCCTCTTTCTTTTTTTGTCTGCTCACATTTTGATGTTTGCTAAGATAAAGAGTTGTAACACTAAAGGCAAGCATCTCCACTGAACATCCAGCAAGGTTACAGTGGTCCAAAGGGGTCATGCTTTGGCCTAATCATTATAGATCTACCAAACCAGCTCTCTATATATATACCCACTCCTGCTATATACAAAAATGTCTACTTCCCTGCTGGAATCAAATATCATTTCCCCTGGTAGACCTTGCTACATGCCCCGCTCTCTACCCCCTAGACTCTTTGCAATAAGCTGTACAAGGAAAGTGTTAGGTAATTGGAACTCTTATCATAGGGGAGTAAACCCGTGGCATTGAAGCATGTTGTTCAAATTTTATAGGTGTCAAAACTTACATCGCCTCCCATAGGGGCAGAAAGAAATTCTGATCCCTGCAAAAATGTCCATGGTCAAGTTTATTGCAGTAAAGCTGTAGACCAGAATAATTATGGAATGTTTATTGGTCTGCAGTAAAGAAAGAAATCATGCCATGCATGGTTTTCCTTCTTCACCTGCTGATTTTTCCCTAGTGTTTTTGCATGTAGTTTGTCAGCCAAATTCTAGTAGGCAAGCTAATCGGCAACAGCATTCATAGTGGAAACATATATGATAGATGTTGAGAATTATTAGAGACAAGCCAGTCTGAATGGAAGCTTCAAATCTGTCACTTCCCATCACTTTTACGTCATAAAGCCAAGATTCCATTCACTCTTAGAACACATAGGATATTTAACATTCCTTGAAGTTCTGACACAAAGAAAAATTGGAAATTAGAAGAAAATGAGACACCCATTATGGATAAAGTTTGTATGTTAGCTCTTCTAATTAGTACAAAGACAACCCAATGATATAATGAACAAATATGAAAAGTATAGCTCTTAAGGTACACAGTCTACTTCATATAACCTTAGAATAATAGCTATCACTTACCAAATTCTGTATATTCCAGGCAATGTACAAAGAGCTTTAGATTTGCATGTTTTAACTTATCTAATTTTCACTATTTGAAGTAGATGATGTGAGCATCCCTATTTTTCAAAAGAGTATATTGAGACAGAGTTGTTTAGTAACTTGACCAAGGTCAACACAATTTGGATCCAAGCATTGTGGTCCAGATACTATACTTTAACAACTACATTGTGCTGCCTCTTGGTCTCTGAGAATAAATGAGTTCCTCATTCTCAGTACACCACATTTCCATGGTAGTAAGTTGGACTTCTAAGATGCAATTTAATACTCTTAAGCAATAAGAAACTGTACCAGGTTCTTCCCATACCTAAGTCATTCCCTTATAGAAAGTCAGACTTTAGGAGATAAATTAACAGTTTTAGGCCATTAAGATAACATTTAATTTGCTGCTGAAATAATGTGGTAATCCATTAAATGGTGCCCTTGAATACAGTGTGAGAAAATATAAGCCTCTAAAATAGTGTACATAGCCCTCAAGCAAGAGTTGTCATGAAGGGCTTCTTTGTCAAATCCTCACAGAGTATTAGCTTTCTGTCATGCACAAGATGCTCTCTTAAGCACAATTCTAATTGAGATTAGTTATTTTGGTCATGACATGAGAAAACCTATCTGGTATTTCTTTGCTGGGAGAATTCAGAAATAGCTACAATATAAATAACATTATGGTTGGGGACTTGAATTGGGCTATGGGCTTTGAAATGCTTATATTCCCATTAATGCATTCTATTTTAGCATCAAAAATTCAGTGTATCTTTCATTTTCCATCTCTCCACTTATCTAAAGCAGCAGCTCTCATAGAAGGGACAGCAAGAATTTTCATTGCCTTGATCATTAGTCTCTCTTTCCTGGACGCCCTTATCTCTCAATGCATTATTCATGGTATGGTTAAGATCATATTCCCAAAGTGGGTTGCATTATGTCACTTACCTCCTCCAAAGCCATTATTATTCCCTAATCTTACTTCAGTCATTACTTCCATAATGAACTGAAAATTCCTTTGTGTGACTTTGAAAGTCTTTGATGATCTGGTCTCAAACTATTTTCTTAGCTGCTTCTCTCACTCTTTATACTCAATACATGCTGTGTCCCAGTGGCTCCAGAATTCCTGACATGCTAACACATTGTTACATTTTTCCACACTTACTTCTTTATTCATATACTGTGAGGGAGCAGTTAAGGATATAGGTTCTGTGGTCAGAGTGCCTTATTTTTAATCTCAGCTCTAGCATTTACTAGTGGTCTGGCCTTGGACAGTTATTTCATATTTCTACTTTTTCTCTAGACCATTTTCCCCATCAAAAGGTGGATAATGATAGTGTCTACCACATAAGGTTGCTTTGAAGATTAAATGAGCTAAATATATGAAGTGTTTAGAAAAATTCCTGGTAGTTTAGGAGCTCTCAGTAATTATTACATTTTATTGTGGTTTTTGTTGTTATTATTCCCACATTCCAGAATATTTTCCTGCAGTCTCCACCT